AGGAAGGAAGGAAGGAAGGAAGGAAGGAAGGAAGGAAGGAAGGAAGGAAGGAAGGAAGGAAGGAGAAAGAAAACCTGTTAAGGAAAAGGAAATCAACAGAAAGCTTAGGCACAGTGAGACATTTGAAGGAAAAATAAATGCAAATTGTTTTTTAATTATACAGCGACTCACTCTCCCAACGTTGTTCATGCTTCTCAGGCCTTTAAAGATCACAGTGGACAGTCCGCCAGACTTCTCCTGTTGGAATGGCAACCACAAGGCCAGATGTGTAAAGCTGGCCCATTCTGACAGAGGTTCAGAAGGAGTGAGCAACATCCAGCCTTTCCAGAGGACAACTTGGCTAAGTCTCTGCAGAGGATAAGGGCATTTACTCTCTGGTGAGATAACTCCACTCCTAGGAATTTATCCCCAAGAGATTCTCAAAGGCTGATCAAAGACCTGTCTACAAAAGTATTTGTTATGGAATGTTCCCACAGGATCAAAACACCAGAGAGTAGCCTGGATGTTCATTCATGGAGAGATGGCCAAACAATCAGAGTGAATGTGAAGTGGACTGGTGTACAGCCTAAACAGTGAGGAAGAATGACATGCATGGAGTGACAAAGCGTGGCGTTTAAAAGAGCTTGCTGGTAGAACACATGTCTAGCATTCAAAAACCCTGGGCTCCATGCCCAGCAACACACACACAGAGACACACACATACACACTCACACATACACTTGTGGCTTTGTTTGTTGACAATGGGTAGGCTCACTTACTAGTCCAAGCTGTCCTCAAACCTGTGGTCCTCCTGTCTCTACCTCCCAAGGACTAGAATTACTGATGCGTGCAGTAATTGCACACATCTGATCAGACATTTGACATCATACCTCTTGAGGATAAACTTGTAGGAGTGGCGTTACTTCACCGGGGAGAAAGTGCCCCTAACCTCTCCAGAGACTGAGCCAAATTGTCCTCTGGAAAGGCCAAACTGATGCTGACTTCTCTGAACCTCTGTCAGGCTTCACACATCTGGCCTCGTGGGTGCCTTTCCAACGGAAGTCTGGCTGACACTGTACTCTGTAAAGGCCTGGGAAGTGTGAGCAAGGCTGGGTGAGTGAAATGCTGTCTGCTGGGCTTATAACGTTCTTTCATTGGCATCATTAGGGAGAAACAACCACACTAAAAAGCACACTATGTTGGCAAGATGGGTCAGCAGGTAAATTGGGTCATTGAGATGGCTCAGTGAGCAAATTGTGCCACCAAGACTACGTTTTGCTTGCTGTAGTCACAAGTGGAAGGAGAGAACCAACTCCTGCAAGTTGTTCTCTGACCTCCACCTACCCACTGTAGTACGTCCATGCATACACACAAGTAAATGAATGTAAAGAAAAGAGTTACAAATAATAAATAATAAAAATAAAAATAATTTAGCCAGGTATAGTAGAACAGATCTTTAATCCTGCCACTAGGGAAGATGGAACAGGAGAACAGTGAGTTTGAGGCCAGAGTAGGAATTGGTCTCAAAACACTAAAATAAATAAATTTTTAAAAATCAAGGTGAGATAGCTAGGCATGGTGGCACACACGTTTAATATTTGGGAGGCAGAGGCTAGTGGATCTCTGTGAGCTCAAGGCCAGCCTGGTCTACAGAGCGAGTTTCAGGACAGTCAGAGCTATGTCTCAAAAAAGGAGGAGGAGGAGAAGGAAGGAAGGAAGGAAGGAAGGAAGGAAGGAAGGAAGGAAGGAAAGAGAGAGAGGGAAAGAAAGAAAGAAAGAAAGAAAGAAAGAAAGAAAGAAAGAAAGAAAGAAAGAAAGAAAGAAGGAAAGAAAGAAAGAAAAGGAAGAGTCATACTGCCAGCGCTTCCTGTTCTCCAAATATCTGACCTGCTTCCTTGGCAAAAACACTGTTAGGTCCAGCCTTCAAAATCACAGTGGCCTTGGTCATAGTCTTGGGGCCGCATTCAAATTACACTCCTGGGTGACAGCTAAAGTACTCCACCTTGATGGGCACCAAACACCTCATCTCTTGAAGTTCAGATGGCTGGCTCCCCTTGCCAGTTTCTGTCTTAATTACTTTACACACTGCTGTGACAAAATGCCTTGACGGAAGCAATTCCAGGAAGGGTTTCTTTTGACTCAGTTTAAGACTGCACTTCATCAGGTGGAGCATGAGGCAGCTGGCCTGATTTTTTCCCCAGTCAGAAAGTAGCGAGAAGTGAATGCTGGCGCTCCATTCACTGTCACTGAGGATCCCAACCCATAGGACGGTACTGCCCATCTTTAGAGTGAATGTTCCAGTTAGCTCTGTCAGCTTGACACAGCCTAGGGCCATCTGAGGAAACAACCTCAACGGATGAATTACCCAGGTCAGAGTGGGCATGTCTGTGGGGGTTATCTTAACTGCTAATTAAGATGAGAGGGCCCAGCTCACTGTGGGCAGCACCATGCACTGGACTATATAAGAAAGCTAGCTGAGTGGGGCTGGAGAGATGACTCAGTGGTGAAGGGCACTGCCTGCTCTTCCCAAGGACCCAGGTTCAATTCCCAGCAACCACATGGCAGCTTACAACTGTCTGTAATGCCAGTTCCAAAGGATCTGCTAGCTGAGCATGAGATGAAGAAAAAGCCAGTAACCAGTGTTCTCCATGGTTTTTGCTTTAGTCCCTGTTTAAGTTCTGCCTGACTTCTCTCAGTGATGAACTCTGACCTGGAAGTGTAAGCCAGATAAATCCTTTCGTTCCTTACATTGCTTTTGGTCAGGGTGATTTATCCCAGCAGTGGAGATCAAACTACAACAGCGAGTTTTCCTACCACAATTAATCTAATCCTGATAGTTCTCCACATTCGTACCCAGAAGCTTGCTCCCTGGATGATACTGAATACTGTCAATTTGGTGATATTAACCCTCATGGTTTTCTCCTGTCCGTCTCATGGTGCTACACAACTCCCAAATGCAAG